GAGTCAGTGCAAAGAGCAATGTTTTCCCCTTGCACAAACGTGGGAGTTTTAGTACAGATAGGGAGAGGAAAGTGTACGCATGGCATAAGCGTTTTGTTCTCTAAAAGAATGGAAAAAATATCTGCTGTACTGATGAGCCTGTTTGGAGCATTAGGCTGTAACTTTGTGTGATCGACTTATGGTTGTTTGTTTGTTTGTTTGTTTTTCCCCAATAACTGATATATTTTAATGTGCTGTAAGGAAACACGCATTTCCCACTGACCAGTTGACTGCTCCAGGCATTAGGGTTAGTACTTGTGTCTGAAGGAGTGCATGCTGCATGTCACCTGGATGCGCCCACCAAGCAGCATGAAAAAGGTGACAGGTTCTCTGACAGTGACAAATGTGTTAATGTTCCTGGGAAGTCTGAGAACGTACGTCTGTGAAAGCATTCGTGGATATCTTCATTCGCCTGCCAGAGAGTTTGCTATTCCATGGGAATGTAGGGGTGAGGAAAGTCCCAGGTGGCTCAGTAGGACAAGTGTTGTAGATCGGTCAGGTCTTGATGTTAGGAGACTGTTCAATACAGTAATCGCATTAGCGTATTGCAGTATCTTAGAAAAATGCATTTAATAATAAAAAGTTAAAAGGCAGACCAAGCTATGTGCCCAGGGTTTTGATATTTGGAATTAGTGCATTCATTTGGCATGGAAGTATACCCAAATTGTCCTTCGAGGACACTGTCTGAATGGTGGGAAGAACATAAGTAAATGTTGCTGTAATATGGATGCTATTCGTGGCAATAACTAGAACTGACAGCCTTACAGGAAGTTTTAAGAGCTTGTTCTGTAGTACAAATAATGCTATACTGTTGTTTTATCAGAAGGTTAGGTAATCAAGCAAGTAAAGTGTGGCATTGTATCACACCTGTGATGGTTTTAGCTGCAGATTACCCAGTATACTACACTGCATAAGATTAACACAGCCTCAGCTGAGTTGGAGCCAGATCTGCCTGTTTCCATGGCCCCTGTTTGATCTAATGCAATCTGGATCCTTGGCACATTCCCTAGTGAGCTTCCTGAATAAACAGGGATTTCTGCAGGGTGGATGGTGCAGGAATGAGCTCTGTGCTCCATCAAACGGGTGGCACAGGGGCATCCATGGGTTGATGAGGTGCTGCAGTGGGATACAGGAGACCATGGGTCGCTGCTCCTTGTTGTCTTTAGGAAAGCTTCAGAGGCCTTCCTGCGGTTACTTACCTTTAGATCAGCAGGGGTCTGTCTGGGCGTGCTGAAGTCTTGCTCTCCATCTCGATGGAGCACGAGGAGAAGAAAATGGTCCTGAGCATGCAGTCATCTCTGTTTTCGCGTGGCACCTCCTCTGGACCCCAAACACTGGTAGCAGCAAGCAAACATAAGTAAGGACGCTTGCTGCTGTCTCAGGTGATCCGGAACGAGGCAGCAGTAGGCTGAGGAGCCATCCTCCTGTCCTCCCTCATGTGTAAAATGGGAGTGATGGACTTTGTGGCTTTTCTCCCTAAGGATGGTAACCTGACAGATTTATAGCATCTTGTTTGGGGCTCAGCCTGTAAGTGGACTTTCCCCCTCTAACCCTAAGGATTGTTGGGTCTCTTTTTTTCCATGTCTTCCTTCTGCTCAACCTGCAAATTGTCTTGTCTTCAACAAGTCCTCATTCCGCAAATGTCTGTTCACGGTTCTCAAGTTGCAGATAGAAGTAAATATTAGAAGCGTACCTGCATTGCTGATGTTTGTGCATCTGGCTTATGCAGCACACTGTAGGGCAGGCGCAGGGCTCGGTGTGCTGCCCCAAACCCAGGGGCTCTGAGCATCTGAGCATCCCGCTGGGGGCATGGGGAGAGAGCATGGAGTGCGTGTGCACGGTGTGAGGGAACTGGCGATCTGTCGGGTGGGGGATGGAGGCAGACAAAAGGAGCTGGTGAGACATAAGCTTCCCTCTAAAGTGCCTTCCTCAACTTTGAGGTTTAATTGATCCTTACGGGAAGTTCTCATTGTTCAATGAGCGCTAATGAACGTAAGCACCGTGGGAGGGATTCTCAGCTGCTCTTTCAAATGGCACAAACGGTCCGAGGAAGACTTTCAGCTCTTGTGCAACACGGAGCCGCTATCTCTTGTGAAAACCAGCTGCGGTCCGGCGGCTCCGAGAGCAAAGCGAGCTGCAGTTTGCCTGCTGGCACAAGCACTCCGTAGCCGGTAAGGGCAGGTATCCCTGCACCGCGGAGCTTGGGCAACCGGCAGAAGTGCTTTAAGCCAGATCGGATGCCAGTGTCGGCCCAGCACAGCTCAGGGATACCTAAACCCCCCCGGGACCACTCCGCTCCAGGGTCCCCCCTGCTGTGCCTGGTGTCCCCAGCTTCGGCACTCCCGGGGCACCGGGTCTCCCTGCACGGCCGGGTGTGCAGGGGGAAGGGCTGCACCACTCGTGTCGGATGAAGCACGGATTTATTCTGGGTTAAAGCGACTGTGTAACCGCAGCATGAGTGCTGCTAACCCCAGGCATTCAAAAAGTATGAGTCAGGCTTTGGAATTCTCGTCATCTTTTTTTTTTTTTTTTTTTCCTCTGCTGCTGAAAGCTTTTATGGTGTTTTAGCGTCCTCTGTTTTATAGGTAGATGTTTTCTTCAGGATTTTGGAAACTGCTTGGTCTGAGCTGTGAAGTTTTGGGGAAGGCAGTGAAAACTGTTGAGTCACTTCACAGCTGGATTCCCTGTTTCCTTGCAAAAGCATTTAAGTATTTCTGGTGTATCCTTTTACTTGTGGTGATTCAGACTTTTGAACTGCATGTAATATATGGAAAAAGTTGTTGCATGTAAAAGACCTTCACGGCAGTTAGTTTCTAAGAACCAGCATCCAAGAGAGCGTGGTGGTTTCATCCTCACTGAGTGCAGCAGTACTCTTCTGAGTTATTGCATCTGGCCGTGTGTTTCCATTTAGGTGGGGCTGCAAATGTTTGCAAAGCTGGGCTAATAACGCTAATTTTGAAGCAGTTAGTAGATGGATGCATTAGTAGATGGAAGCAATGTTTAGAAACGTAGTCGGAAACTTTAGCCCTATTATGGTGCCACTCACTTCCTGTACATATGATGTTTCTTTCTCCTAAGAGACAGCGATGTTTAAGCTCATAATAAGACTCCATGGAAAGAACAGAAAAAGTGCACAGGAAATCGTGAGAGCTGGGGGCCTTGCTATTATGCCCATCAATACCTTGTATTTCTACAGATGTTCACAAATAAAGCAAGAACTCTCCTTGGTCTCAATGCAGCACTTGCAGTTCTTAACCTTTTGCGCATCTCTCTGAGCCATTCATCGCAGGTGGTCAGAAAAGCTGCATGTCTTTGTACAAGCAGCAGGGGACCTGGACCCAGGTACAGCTCCTTAATGCTAGAAACCTCCAAATATCCTGCTTTATATTTTTCAGTCAGCGAATATCTAGGTCAGAAAGGTCCATGTATTCCACGCGAACTCTGAATGATGTTTGGGCTCCTCACCCTGTTTGTGTGCGAGGTACTCTCTCCTGAATGCTCTTCTGTGAAGTTGTGCTTTGCTCGTGGAAGCTGTGGGTGGTCTTTGGTTTTTATTGTGCCAGTCAGCGTTAGAGAATGACAACTGTGTGCTGCAAGCAGTGCTGTCTGCATCGTGCTTGAAGTTAGTTACTTAGTCAGATTTTCTGACTCTTTTCCTTTAGTTCAAACAGTTTTCTCTTTTTTTTTTTTTTTTTTTCTCTGTTTCGGACTAGGATTCCCATAGGGTGTTGAGAAAAGTGCAGTAGTTTTGAAATGCCCCCAAAGACCTTCCTCAAAATTCTGCCCCAATCCCCTTTTCTTAATGGTGTTCAGAAGAGCCATAGCTGACCTCTAACTCAGGTAGGGTCTCCTAGGTGGTGCTTAGGTGCTGGAGGCAAATGGAGGATTGGAGTGTGGAGAAGGGTGTTTTATTCACAGAGTCACAGAATCACAGAATGGGCTGGGTTGAAAAGGACCACAATGATCATTGAGTTTCAACCCCCTGCTGTGTGCAGGGTTGTTGACCACCAGACCGGGCTGTTCGGTTATTCTGGTCCATGTTCTTCTGGTCATATCTTCTCCAAGCATGCCATAGACTAAGGGCAACTCCCAATGCTGTTAGGGCTTCTCTCATCCCACTGACATCACTGAAAAGCGTAGAATGTCATGGAGGTCTGCTTTGAAAGCCTGAGATAACAGGAAAGGCTTCAGGGCCGAAAATCTTAGTCACAAGCTCAGCTTGTAGTCAAGCCTCACCAAGATGAGACTTCTCTTCTTAGCCACATTTGGTAAATGTCCAACTGCAGCAACAGCCACCTGCAGAATAAGTCATTCCAAATTAAAGAAAAAAAAGTCTGCTTTACTGTTTTCCTCATTTGTAGGATGCTTTGGGTACCCAAGCTGGCAGGACAATCATTACTTTACCCAGGAGTTTAACTTTATGTCCTGTTCTGTCCTGAGGTTAAGGAAGAGGAAGGCTAGTTGAAAAGTTAGCACCTCCACGGGCTGGGATGCCTTGCTGGGGTGGGCAGTGTGGTTAGGCTGCTTTGTAGTCAGACACTTTCTGTGCTCAAATGCCTAGAGCTTTGTCTGGGCTCAGAGATGGACAAAAGCTGAAGCCAAATGTTTTGGGAGATGTTCCTTCACATGAAATTAAACAAAACAACGACAAAAAGATCTTCAATACCACCACCACAAAGCAGCCTCCTGTACAGATGAACAGATAAGCTGTTCATGTAGGGGGAAAGAAAGGGGCTTGAACAAAATAGCTGAGACACGTCACATCAGTATTCTGGTAGGGCTTTTCAGTTTACGTGGAAACTTGGACTAAAATTTTTTGTATTCTGGCTGGCTGTTGTTAGTGCTTTAGCTTTTGTTAACAGCAACTTAACCCAGCCACGTTTCATGCTGAACTGTGAAACAATGAGCACACGACTGTTTTCACAATTAACTGTGTGCTTTCTCTGTTTCTGGTACGTCAGTGACACTTTCTGCCGCCACTCCTGCCTACTTTCGAGGATTCACACTGATTGCTCTGAAGGAAGGAAAAGAAGGTGATAAAGAGGAAGACCATGCGGGAACGTTTCAGGTGAGAGATCTTTCCCTCTGCAAGTCTGTTTCCCTTCGTGCTGGGTTCCAAGGGAGCCACTTCTCGCACAACAAGAACGTGTGGAAGTAAGCATAAATATTTGTGGATTCTGGCACGAGAACCATGTAACGTGCTTTATATGCCATGCAATCACTTGAAGAGGTCGTGGCTCTGATACTTCTGCTTCATCTTTCTTTTCCACATTTTTTTTTTTTAATGTTAAACACGTGCATTAATTATTTGAAATAGAGACACCTGAATTTCTTATCCAAAGTGAATATAATTTGCTTTATTCCTGTTTTAGTTTTTGCATTTCCGTGCTTAGAAATTCTTGTCAATTCAGATGTGGATTACTGTTTGGAGAATTGTGCTTGCCACAGCTGTAATGACTGTTTTACCAGTCATAAATTAAGTTCTGCTGTTTTATTGATGCTTAGTAGCTCTTAATGAACGCATTCAGTGGGATGGAATGTTGTTTATTGTTATCAAAAGAATCAGAATCCAGATTGATGATTCACAAAATAGCATTTCGAGCTATTTCAGAATCATGTCGCACGAAAAGAATTCTGGAAATGGAGACCACACATCATATTTTATGAAAACTGATAGAAATTGGTTAGTTGTGTTGTCTCAAATGAGAGATTGTTTGCTGTTTGACTTTCCAAAGTTATAAATACAGTTTGATATACTGATTATAGTTTACAGGATGGGTAATTATACTGATAGTCATTTAATAACGATAAATTTTGTCTGTAACTCACTTGCCACTAAGAAGCATCTCTATTTTTTGAAGAGAAATACTCAGAAGTTTTAACCTGTAGCTACCAAGGGCATCCTACCATCTTTTCTTAAATTGAATTGTTTTTTATTTATAGCAAATATAACATGCAAACTCAACATGTATTTGAGGTGCTTTGAGGTGTCTTTGTAGCTTGCATACATTTTTTTAAGGAAATATGGAATAAGTAAGAAGACGATGTTGGAATAGCTCTCCTTAAAATTAAGTGTTTTCTTAATGCTGTTTCAGAAAAATCTTAATATGGATTTAATATGGTTTAATATGGATTTTTGTTTAAAAAGTAAACTAATGTTCAGGTCTCATCTGATGTTAAGAAATAGAGATGGTCTGCTTCATAAGTTTTAAAATGAACTTGTCACCAATAGTTTGTCTGTTTCAGTTGTTAATGTCTCCATAGCATGACTAATGGAAAAGACTTGGCCTGACTGTGTCCCTTATGGCTAGGTGTAAATCTAACGCAAAGGGAGGAACTTGCTAAGCTTTACTGGAGCACAGAGTGGGAAACAATGGAGATTCTACACTCAGAAAATAAAGTCTGATGGCTCTCCGTGGAGGAAAGATTGTTTAATTAGTTTTATTATCAATAAATCAGTATCAATTGCAATTTGAAGTCAGTATTCTAACTGGCAGGTAGAGCTTCAAATTTGATGCATAACTAAATTTGTATTTCTGTGGTGCAAGCAGTGCTCATTGTGCTCATCCCACATCAACACCATTAATGGAAGCTCATTCACATCCTGCCAGCCCTGCCTGTGTTCATAGAGGTTTAAGGTTTTTATTTAATTATCCCATGGGAGCTTGTGTTGTTGTTAAATACTGGTATCTCTTGTAAGATGGCTACGTGCTAGTAACTAGAAGGGAAGAAGGGAAGTTTATTAGGAAGGTTTGCACTGTTTGCATTGCAGTGAAGATCTTAGTGATTTTATAAGTTTGCAGAGTAATAAAAAAAACATGTACAATCACATGCATGCCACTTGCAGTTATGGATTTCCAGTGCTCCAATGCAGAATACGTTATCCAATGAGTGAGCTAATGGAACAGAACTCAAACTGTTAAATAGTGGCAAAAGACTGGATGCCACTTGTGGGCTACTGGCATAATGCTTTCTTGCCACAAGGAGATATTTACTGTTCAAGTAATAATCACAGCAAAGAACATAAAATGCACTGCATGAGGAAAAGTGTTTCGCTGATTTTAGCAAGTCTTGAAGCTCTGATAGAAGGAACCTTGAGGTTGACAAACGCATTTTTTTCCCCCCTTGGAGAGCATAAACCACCGTGTTTTCAAGCCTGTCAGTACTGCTTTTCAATCATGAGATATGGGTTATGCTGACATCTGTGGACAAAACCCACACCAGAAGCTGTGCTCGGGTGAGGATCCCATGGGGCCATGCCTTTTGGTTTAAAGGTTGTACTGAGCAACGTGTGTAATGCTTCAAAATAGAGCAGAGGAGCATGTGTTTGAGCAAGAAGGTGTTGAGTAAGGACTGGTATCTCAGCAGCTGATAGAGCCATTGGATGCATGGGTTTTGGGGTCGCAGTTGTGCTGCAGTAAGTTTTGCTCTGCAGCCCCTTGTGCAGGATGAATGTGCTGTGACGGCCTTCTGTGAGTTTACCCAGTGGCTTTGCTCTCTTGCAACCTTCTCATGGCTCATTTACTTTTGCCTTGACTGCGAGTCAGCAGGTATGGTCAGTCTTCATTAATCATTAAGCTGCTGGGTCTTGATTCTGTAAGGAGCACAGCTGTTAGAATTGTTGGTTGGGCAGGTATTTTTCTCCTGTACTTTTTTTGTTACTTTTGTACTTGTCATAGAGTAGAGACCATTACAGAAGTTCAGTTTGTACTCTATTGTTCTAAATCCGTTTTTCACTGAGAAAATTAGGATTTTAGATCTGATGTGTTACTATTGGTTCTTTACCAATGCGTCCAAACTGTTTTCCTTGGTTCTTGAAGCACGCCCTGAGCACAATTTGTGCTTAGCGTAAATAAATGGCGTTATTTCCCACAAACGTACGTTACATTAAATATAACTGGGGAGTTAAAGATGCCAAATTCAGCTGCAGAAATACCAGGATGTAATAACACAGCTCTTACTTATGCAAATGGTAATTGCACAGCGCTGGGGCGCAGTGCAGCACGCTGAAAGCTTGGGATGCCCGTCCCACTGCTCTCTTTAGAAGAGCTGTTCCCAACTGTTGTCATGCAAAGTGCTGATCCTTCTGCTTTGTAACGATGAGCAACAGTCTGCAAACTGAAGGCAATTGGAGGGCAGCTTCTGCTCAAAGGCAGCAATCAAACTGATAGGCTGTAGAACAGTATCTATATGGGCCGTTTTAATCGACGTGTATATGCAGTGCAATGGATTTAGTTTGGTAAATAACATAGATTAATAGAAATTTAGTCCTGAATCTCATTTCATCCATCTTCCTTCTCAAAGGAAAAATAAACGCTCCAAGAAAATCCTTGGGGGTGTTTCCTGAATGTTTTCAAGAAGCATTCAACAGCAACAAGAGATTCATAATCTCTTCAAGCATTCAAGCCCTTTGATATTTTATGAGAAATTCAAGAAAAACTATATAAAACTTTTTTTCTGATGTCTAAAGTGAGTTGTCTTTAATAGTGGTGAGATTGTTCTCTTATTAGATAGTCCTCCAGAATTAAGAGCTTCCTTGGTATTTTCTGAGACAGTTACTTTGAAGTTTCCCTTAATCTCTCTCCAATTCCTTACACTTTCCATTTGTATGTTATTAACATTAACTTATTTTTCCTTGTTGAGTTTTGCCTTTTATGTTGTCGAGTTGCAAGTGCAGTCTTACTTGTGTTGCCCAGAACTGTGCAAAATCAGTCAGTTTGAGCCCTTAGTACACAACCGTATAGAATTCAGACAGGATAGTCCTTTGAGAATATCATAATTCTGTTCTCTTCATGCAGAAATCTAAGTGTACACAACTTACCTGTACAGTGGGAACATTTTGGTATTGTACAGGAGGTCCATAATGAATTTCTAAGCCCTTTCTTGCACATTCTGTTGCCTACGTAGTTATTCATCATTTATGCCTATCTGTTTTATTCCTTCTCAGTGTGGATCTTTGTATTTGTCTTGCCAAATTTCATCTTGACTGCATTTTCAGTTTATCAAGGAAATTCTCAACTGTAGTGCTATCCCTCCAGTGTGCCCAGCATTCTTCCAAAAGTTATTACTGTTTATGAGGTTTGTAAATACTTGTTAAATGGCGAAGCGGCCAGTTGTGTGCAAATGTGACATGCTTTTCTCATGTATGGGGATAAACTGAGTCACACAGACTCAAAACTAGACTTTTCTCTGTCCTGTTTTGGCCTAATCTGCCCTTAGATTATTATGCTATGTCTGCTGTTTTTGTGATATTTTGCTACTGAATGTTTACCTGAAGCTGTCCTTTTACTCTGCCAAGAAAACAAGTTTCACTTTCTTTGCTTTACAGTGAGTCAAGAAGTTCTTAGTTTAGTTTACCACCCTGTGGTGAAAAACTAGTTAAGAACAGGAGCAAGATCAAGGTTTTGCTTAAAAAATAAATGTGTGTGTGTGATGTTTATAATAATTAGGTGTTTTCTGCTTAAGCAGATTCATGTAACAGAACCTGAAGTAGCAGCTGATAAGTAAGGCTCTGGTGGTCTTTTGCCCTAAGTCACTTTTCTCTTAAGTTATAACGTTGCCTTTGTTTGCTGAACGGTGATCATTTCTTTTGATGCTGTTTTGCTGACTGATGGGTTTACCAAAGCTTTCAGATTAGAAAATATTGTTATGAAGCTCTTAGAAAAGCAAGCCCTTGGTTGTTGTGTTCCTGCATTTTACAGGACTTGTGCATCTTTTTAAGCAGCTGATATACTGCATTTTGAAAAGAGTAGTTTTAAAAGGCTTTTGGCCACATCTGAAGATATATTAGATCTTGTATTTATATTCTAACTTAGCTTATATTTTTAAAAATGGCCGCCGTTCTTTATCAAGCTTTTAATTACTGATGTTTGTTTCTTTTTAAAAAAAGCTTATGCCTATGTATGAGTGTATCAGACAACAAGTAAATGGCTTACTCTCTGATGGATGGAATGATGTAGTTTTGTTCAGGACTTGCATAGTGTTTTGCTCCTGTTTGCATTCTGTACCTCCCCAGCATCTTATTGCTGGACGAGAGTCATCGTACTGTCTATAAGCATATGGAAATAA